ACATCAATAAAATGCCATATAATCATATGTAACTCATTAAATATCGAAATTAGAAGAAAAGTGCACTATTTTTAATTACAGGAAATGCGTTTTCTAAGGTACATAAACTTTTGGGATTGACTGTATAGCTAATACATCCTTAAATCGGTGTCGCTGACTAATCGTGCATCGTTATCTCTCTTATCTTCGCGTTCTCCAAAGCACAAATCGTTATTACGCATCTCCGACGACGAGCGTGGTCGATTTGTCCTTCTTCGAACGTGAATCTCGGAACAGACCGATGACTAACAACGGCCGAGGAAACACTTGAAAGCAGGAATTACCATGTAAATCCTGAATGACTCACGAAGCTGGCAAACGTTCCTAATGCCATCGTCGCCGCGTTTCCTCCACCGCCTATCGCCGTGAAGGAAATACCAAAGAGGTCTCACAGACTCAACGAGATCACGCGCTCGAATCGAATGCGTTGACCTGAAAATTATCGACGGTTTGCAACGCGAACGAGAGTAAATCTCAGATCGAGCGAGAGAGAGAGGTGCCGCGCCTCGTTGAACCTCGGTTCGATTTCCCGCGGTCCGGCTGCTCGCGAATGATTTTGTAAAAACGAGAGAGAGGAGAAGCCTCGACGAAATTACGTTTCAGAAACAGTACTTCTAAATCGGTGGGGGAAAGGGGGGGAACGAAAGGCGTCTTGCGTCGTGGAACGAACGGATCGAGGTTGTGGGGTCGTCACACTCCCTGCTCGTTGCAACAATGACCATCGGGAGGAGTAGACCGGAAGTCTCTTGTAATCCGCGAGTGTCTCGTTCGCGTTGGAACGGGACGGATCGGACGAACGTCTGTCCGTCGACGGTTCAATGCGAAATCGCGATTCTAACTTTAAATGCACGTTTATTATAATATCTGTCCGGTCGCGGGTCATGCTTTGGGTCCGCTGCGCTGGGGGTCCCAACCGGTTATTAAGCTTCCACGCAGACCCATCTTACCGTGACAGACGGACGGTCTTTTGCGTCGCAAAAGATGTGTCAACGTTCGTAGAGACGTATTCGAACGAAGGAGGACGGTTCAGCGTCTCCGTATCGTCGGATAGATCGGAAAGATTTCGAATAATGCTTGACCGACGATCCAAGTTCGAGATCGTGGGATCAATGAAAACGTGTGACTTGGAAATCGGGAGAAAACGAATATTTCCACGTGTCGCGAACACACGTATCGTGACACGGGTACGCATTCGAGATGTTGCCAAAGGAGGGACGCGAGTGGGTACGCGACCACTTATGTAGGTGCGTTCGTGATACGACCCGTGCGTAAGTTCGCATGCACGTACGCTCGCTCATTGTCCAGAATCGTGAGCCATGAAAACCAGTCTCTCACCGGAGTAGCTCGTGCCGAACTTTCAGCGTTGTTACCGTTGCGTGTACTCGTGTCATTAAAGGGGGGAACATCGGGGGAACAACGAGACACGACGAGTGTTCGTACGCGCTTCGATCTACGAAGCATTCGTAGAACGAAAGATCGCTTCGAAGCGCGAGGAGACGTAGCGCGACGGAGAGGAACGATCGAGGAATTTGCGCGTTGCGTGGCCGAAAAAAATCGGCACAATGGAGAGCTCCGACTTGGCCGGAGGAGGAACAAAGAGTCGTCGAGAGGAAACGAACGGAGTAGTCTGGATCTCTTCTACGAAAATAAAGGGCGCGTGTGCAACGTCTATCGAGGAAAAGAATTCCGCGATACGCGTTCCCGATGAAACGAAACATCTGCCACGGTCCGCCACGTACTTCCGACTCCGTAGCCCGTCGTACTTCCGTCGAAGGATGAAAGGCGCGTGACACGCCAACACCCGGGGGACACACCTGGCCGTCTCCGATCGTCTTCGCTCGCGTGGTCATTTACGCGGAGAAAAACACGCGACGATCGCGAGCGCCAGAGATTTTCTCGTTCCTAGATCGAAACCGATCACCGTATTTCATACGACGTATCCCGTCGTAAACGGGAGTCAGATACATGTGCTACTCCCTCTCTGTACACCCGATTCGCATCGTTTCGCGTTACGGATACTCGAACCTTGCGAAGGGCAGTTGGAACCCTGTAAACCTGCTCGTTACGAGAGCACCACTGTCAATGCGTGCAGTTGTTTTTTTTTTTCGAGCAAAGGTTTCTATCGATTGGACGGAGGGGTAGCTTTGGCGAGCTGATTTACGGGACACTTGGCGTCGCGCAAAAGCCTAGGCGTCAGTATTCGTCCGTTCGACCCCCTGCAAGATGAATCTGTCTCGCGCCCCTCGATCCCCGTGAATTATTCGGGCAACGCGGTGATCAAATTTTCACGAGGCCGAGGGAAGAAAGATCCGGTCGATGCTGTGAATTCCGACGCGATGGCAACGGCCTTCCTACGGAACGGGAAACGAGACGAGGTCTTTGGTTCTCGGCTTGCCGAAGAGGGAGGTATAGAGGCAGTGCGTGGCATCTCCGGCAATCCGCCAACAGCCAAATCGATTTCACAGCGGCCGATGAAAAAGCTTGAGCCAATGCGGTCATTGTTGCGGTCACGAAGAGACGTTCAGGTTCCTTCTGGACGTCTCTCGCTATTTTCCGAGCGATCGAACATTTGCGCGGTAAAACGGAACGGGGCTCACGGACCGAACTGTGGGAAACGGCGAGCTGGGGCGGGCTTCGTATCGGACGCGAAATGCCGAAGCCATTGAATCGCCGGAGAGACAAAGGAATCGAGCCGCGCACCACCGCCCCGGTACCGGTGAACGATCTTTGGAAATCGAGAGCCAGTTCCGTACGTGATCTGGTAATCGCACGTGTGTGTACACGCTGGGACAATGAACGGTTCGAAATCAAATGCGGTCGAACGCGGAGCGGAAGATTTTCGGAGATTTTCGAAATTCACTTGCCGCGACGGAACGAAACGTGCGTCTTTCGATCGAATGTTTCGAGGCGAGATAAAACGGAGTTTCAAGTGGCTCGTCAGAACGCGCGAATCTCCTCGTCGATCGCGTCAACGCTGCGTCGTCGACGGGGTATCTCCGCTCGAAAGACACATTTGCATATCAATTATTTTCTGCCTACGCACCGTACAATATTATACTTCGATGGTCGGCGGACGATCTCGCGCCACGAGTCAGCCGCCTACGTCGTTTCGCTGTTACAAAACGTGGTTAACGCTTGTTTCGAGTTCCTCAGTTTCCATTTATCGTTCCAGAGGTATTTTCGTTCGTGAAAAATCGTCTCGCGGAGATCGTTGATTCGTAACGTAGTAAGCGGGCCCATCTGTTCGAGGAAGATTCGCGCCTCGAGCCCTCCGCAGAAGACCCTCGAGGGGGAAGCACGATCCTGCCTCCCACGACGTTCCACCTTTCACGAAGACTTGCACGATTTCCTTCTCGATTTCTGATCGAGCGTTTTCCGCAAAATGCGATCCGATTCTTCGTCCGATTTTTCAACGCGAGCGTAGGTGTACGGTGCTTTATAGGTATCGCGGTCACGTTCGATCGAAAAGAATTCGTGGCACATCTGCCCTTTCAGGCATGTTACCCCTCGGAACAACAGGTAGATCGTTATCGTCGATACCGCTTTCGCTGCGGTCGCGGTGGACGACGAGGATTAAAGAGGCGATCGTAGGAGGGAACATTTAATTAAGGAAACGCCCGTGATTCTTTTATAATTTCGCCGAGCCTAGCGTTCTTCCACTATCTGAATCTTAATTAATCATTGTTCTCCGGAAGGAAAAACTCCGCGCGGAGACACGGGTATCTTCTCGACGACGGCATTAACGTCGCTGAAGCGATGACGAATGACTTCCCCCGGTATTGCAGGATCGTTCGCAGATGAGAACTATGCCTTTTCTTCTATTCGACGCATGCAATTACGCAACGAACGCGATTTCTCGCGACATCGTCGTAGTAAGGGACGAGCTTATCAGCTGGAAATTTCGTCGTGTCGCGCGTAAACGCTTGTTAGTCGAAGATTCGTTCGAGAGTCCGGATACTAGCCGGAAGAGGACTAAAAATAGATTGTCTGGAAAAAGAGGTTGTTTCAGGTAAACGGGCCATTGTACGAACCAACTACCGGAAAGGTAGGACCGAGAGCGAAGTTAGAAAAAAGGGGCTTAGACGCCAGTGCGACGTCGATTATATCTCGCATACCTATCCCGGCGGAAACGTTAGCTCGTTAAAGGCCCGTGACCGAGTGTTCCTGAGGAACGAAATCCTCTCTAGTCTCCTAACGCTGCGATCGAACTGGGGTTCCATAACGGTGGGACAGTGAGCTTACGAGGGATGCTGTTCAGGTCGAAGGAGGACACGAGATTTGTTTGATCAATGCCGGCTGTGAAATTGTATCGAAAGAGAATCGCCTGGTACGGACAGGATTCTGAACGAATCGTTCGCGTGGCCAGCGTCGAACGGAGCCGGCAAATAAAAAATAATGTTGATCGAAACGGACCTCAGAGTGTGCCATTACCAGCCGATAATTTCGTTTTAAGCGTGTTACGAAGTTATTCATAGGTACTCACTTTGACCGTAAACCGCGTTCGCGATGACCAACAGGATGAGCGTTCCTCTGAGACTCATGTCGAGGTAGCTTCCGGCTTGCTGAAATACTTCGATCCGCTCCGACACCACTTGAACACGATCACTGGTTGATTGTCGAAATTAATCGAGATCGAACGAAATCGTCCGCGCAACGTTCATCGAATTACGAATCCCGTCAATTGTCACCGATGAAACCTCGCGTGCGTTCATAGATGGAATATGAATCGACGGAGCGCATCGACGAGAATACAGAACCGTAAAAGCTTGGCCGGGAGCACGCCTTTCTTCAAACGCAAACGTGACTCTCCTCTTTCTTCGTTTCCCTTCTCTGCCTCTTGTTCCGTCTCCCCGAATAGTGCACCGTGAACCGGAGCGTGTACACAGCACTTTCCACGAGTTTTGCTGAGGAGGAACGTTACGAAATACCGTTTCCTTTACTATTCTTCGTTGATAGCCGGTCTACATCGCGCGCGAGCGTCTCTCGATCCTCGCGACGATCGCGGTCAGTCTCGGTCGCGGAAAATCTTTTTCCCAGTTTTCACGATCTATCGAAGATCGAGCTTCGGTTCAGAGTTTCGACCGGGAACAATTGCACGTTCCGTCAATCGGGGAACCACCAGCAGGGGGTTGCAGCAGTGAACGCAAACGGAACGAGCCTGCGACCCGTGTCGTACCGCGGCTCGCATACGAATGCCGACGAACGAAGTTAGTCGCCGTTCTTCCGAATTCCGTGATCGTTCGCATAGGTGTGCGTGCGCTGTCTCTCCCTTCTTCCAAGTGAATTTAGTTATCCCCACCTCGGTCTCGCCACCGCACCATCTTCCCTCTGCCTCTGCCTCTGCCTCTGCCTCTGCCTCTGCCTCTGCCTCTGCCTCTGCCTCTGCCTCTGCCTCTGCCTCTGCCTCTGCCTCTGCCTCTGCCTCTGCCTCTGCCTCTGCCTCTGCCTCTGCCTCTGCCTCTGCCTCTGCCTCTGCCTCTGCCTCTGCCTCTGCCTCTGCCTCTGCCTCTGCCTCTGCCTCTGCCTCTGCCTCTGCCTCTGCCTCTGCTATGAATAGGTTGTACGCACACCACCGCTGGTGCAGCGAACGACGTACAGTGTAACGCTCCATCGCTAGCGACGGCTCCGATCCGATTTCACGGATTAATATTCGATCCCACTTCTTGCCGATTAATCCTCGGAGCGTGATTCTATTTGAATACGATACATCAGCGAAACAGCTGACGAAGTCGTGACCACACAATTATCGTACGGCATCGTGAACGATGGGTCGAAGCGCGTTTATTTGCATGCACGCAGCTCGATTCCTTTCCTACTTTCCACCGGCCTCGAATCCGGTATATCCTCACTTCCTTTATCCCCACTGCGTCTGGTCGAGCACGCGTGCGGTCGACGCGACGCGTCAATTATATCCGAATCGAAGGCGACGTCTCATCGGGATTACACCGCAAAAATAAATGCAGCCCGCGTTATTTTCGCTAACGATTCCTATACGTATGAGCGCACCTGTGTAGCTACGTTATTGGCGCACTATCGTTCCGTCGCGTCGGAACAGCGTACGTACGTCGATAATATTGACGGACATCGTATGAAACAAGAAGCGGTGGGCTGTCTGCAATCAGTAATGAAGTAGCTTCTTTATTCGGGGGAATAGTTACGATAAAATTTCGTTTCCAACTTTTTAAAACCAATCGCCAGGAATACGAGCGTAGGATTCCGGGATTTATGAATGATTCGTAGGAGTGAATGAACGGGGGCCAACGCATGCGCTCCGCACCGTCCAGATTCCATTCCCATTCCAATCTCGCCTCTATTCTCGTTGCTTCATCCTTTTCGCCGCGCTCCGCTTAGGTAGTTACGTACAGGGTGAGTCGGTAAGAAACATCCGTCGAGATTCTCACTCGAAAATTGATCGAGAAGGTAAACGTTATCGAAGCGTGAGCACGAACTTGGTCGCAGTGAGTTTCGTCGCTGAAAAGATTTGTGCGAGGCACCGTTCAATCAACGAAATCTTCGCAAAAAGGCCGGAGTTGCCTCTATTTCTATTTACTCGCCCCTGTACACGCACGCCATGAACGTGTGACAGCTGTAAAGTTCACACACATATATATAAGCATACACGTAGAAGGAGTTTGTTCGACGAGAGGACCCTTATGAAGGTCTCACCACTATTGCCGTTGAGTCCGTGTTAGTGAGAAGGAATGCGTGTTTCTTCGAGAAAGTATTTTCACGACTACGACGTGCTTGTACACGCACGTAAAAAGCAGCCGCGCTGCCAAGGTAAATTAGACTGCGCCCCCCGCCGGCTCTGTAATTTCGCTCGGCAGCGAGACGGCCGTGATTTTTTCTCAAGCCCGATAAGATACTGTTATTTTTCCCACGTACTTTGCTCTCCACGGTCCTAAATAATCAGATACTTTCCTTTTAGAGATAGTACCGAATCAATAGAATCGTTTCCTTTTCCTTTTGCCGTTACCGTTGCCAGCTTCGGCGCTCAGAGATCATTATCTTCCGGTCCTTCTAGTATTTCGTAAAATTTTCTTCTCACCTTCGGGATGCGTCGATACATCCCGGGGCAAGTGTTTACGATGCATGTAGCGATTGCAACAACTGGTTACGACTTGTCGCTACATGGAACGATAGTGTCCTCCTTAAAATTCGCAGCTGACGACCAACCGGTGACAATGTCGCTGAATATTGAACGAGGACCCGAACTAGCATCGTTTCTTAGTAGTCGACCAACGCCATGATAGCAACAAGGACTCTGATTTCTTTGTGAAAATGAAAATGAAAATGAAAATGAAAAACGCGTTGTACAGGATTCTCTTCGAAGGTAGACGAAGTCAAGTGCTAAAAATATCTGAAAACGCGAATATAGATGCTGCACGATCATTAAATGAAATTTATAATGTCTCATGACGAAGAACGCGAGGCAATAAACAGCGGGAATGAAAAAAGTTTGCCACCTGTCGGCTTGGCAAATTTACCTTCCCCTTTTACTCTTTACACCATCGATTCTTCCTCGTCATTGAACGTGGCCCGCTCGAGAAGCAGATCGAAAGGGCGAGCGTTTGCCGAAAAATTCCATTTTCGAAACGTTTTAGTCACCGTTGGTCCCATGTTGATCTAGTAAAGTGTATGTTCAGGAACGAGCAGAGTACGATCTCATAGATATTAGATTTTGACTGAAAACTGAACGTGAATTTGCGGCTTGGTTCACGTTCCGTTTTCCGAATTATTAGCGCGGGTATCTCGTCGAATTAATATGCACGATTCGTTCGGACTACGAACAGAACAGAGATCGATCCTTCCTTCGTCACACTCGACATCGGAAGAACGTACGTTAGGTATGTCAATACGTTTGATAGTCTTCCTGGTTCTTCCGTAAAATTAATTTTGTCGCACATACCGCCGTGTAACGCGATGCGATTGGCCGAGGATTTGGAACGCTCAAAATGGCGCCGTTATGTCCCGTTCACGTGGTACATACGCTCGCGCAAGGCGAAAGTGAGTTTCGACGCATTTCTCGATACATGTCCAACGACAACGACGACACACAAATGAAGAAGAGTCACGGACACAGTAATACGTGTGCGAAGAAGCGTCCTATCAGACGGAGAGTCTCTCCGAAGCGAACGAATCAGAAAAATCTGTGCATAGAAAAGGACACATTCGTCATATAATCACCCCGATATATAACGCAGTATTGCGCAGCAATATAGGATGGATGCGAGTGTACAGTTTTAAAGAATTTTCTGACGAAAGATGCGGAGCATTTAGCAACGGTTAGCGGCAGCAATATTGCCCCGTTCGTTCTGACTCCACGGCAGCCTGTACGGTAGAGAATATGTATATATCGGTGTGCGTGCACAAGTAGTCAGTGTGGTGTGCCTATTCGATGCAATAAAATCGTTGTCGGTCATCGGGGCATCTAACCCGTTCGGTAACGTGTCGTCGGAGTGTCGAAGAAAGGTCGCGAACCTCGGTAAGATTGTTCGAGAAGCCTGTGTACGAAAGCACGTTGAGAAGATCAAAGACGAGAGGTGGACAATATTCTGCGAAAAGCCTCGGTAAAATGGCGGTGATCGGTACTCCGATTGGCGCTAAGCGATAGAAGAGGATCGCGCTCTGTTCACGCTCTCGCTAGTTTTGTTTTGATCCAGTTCGATAGATACGTTTACGGGGAGTGCTCGACTCTCGTCACATTTCAAATCATTCGGTTTCATTTCGTCGCATCCCTATCCAGCGCCGTGCGAAATTAACGCAAGCGTCCCGTGGAACGGAGAGATAATACCCACGATATCCTACGCATACAATATATCCAGCCGAGGACGATCAAGGTGGTGGTGGGCAACCACCAGCGGAACGGTTTTCGACGGCCGTGATGCCGCATCGTTCCGACCTCGAATTCGTCGAGAGGCCAAACGACAAGGACGACTCCGTTCAATCCTTGTCGGCTTATCTATAGGTAAGTCTCTTCTCGACTCGCGTGCCACGAGTGCATCCCTGCTTTCACCTCTTTTCTGCATTCTCAAATCGCTCGCGTCCGTTACTCGCCCCTGTTTCTCCTTCTCGGATTATGTGCTCGCGCCATCGAAATCATCGAGCCGAGCATCGCCTCTTTGTTATTATTTTGTGCCCGAACTGGCTCGAAGTTAGGTTAGGCCCTGCGAAACCGATGACTCTGCATCTTAACGAGAATCCAGAATTCTCCTCGTTCCCATCGTACTTTTAACCATCCGAAATTGTCGAGACTCAAACCACGCTCCTTTTACAGTTTTTCTAGACAATTCCTTTGTTTATAATGACTTTTTTTTACTCGCACAAATCGACGATATGTATATATTCCCTTATATAGTCTCTTTCGAATAACTATTTACGTCGAAGGTACGTTTTGTCACTATTTGTCACGTTCTCAAGGTTTTCCGCGGGATTTGTCACGTCATTGTTAACTCCGTTGCGAACGTTTCGTCACTACGAATTTCCCCGATTTTCCGATCCACGTTCCGAACTTGTACCTTCCGCGTTATCTACTTTCGTTGATAGACATTCTTCGACGAATAGTGTGACTAACGGCATTATCAGTCTATCGATAGAAGTTTAAATTTAATTAATTTAAAATAAAGATTCTATTCTCGGTATCTGCGTTAGTCACACAGAAAAACCATATGGAGGATTTTATATCCGACGTACAAAATATCAATGTATTCCTAATCGCCTGACATTTATCCGTCGTTTCAAGTCAGTGATCAATTCGTATAACGATGTACGCGTACGAACACCACGCTGTTCGCGTGTAAATCGAAAATTAATTCTGACAAGGATTTTTGTCACCTGCAAGAGCCGGTCACATGTGAGAACGTAGATCAATGATTTTACTGTTGAATGAATATATGAGAGACACGTTCATGAGTGCGTTGCAAAATGATGTGTTTCAGATTTTAAATTCGCAGAGGTAACTTTCATCTACCAAAATGAAAATTGATCGGAATAGATTGAGAAAATACACCTCGGAAGCGGTAGGTTCTTTCCCAGTCATCTAACGAATCGTCTAAATAATCAAAAGTGTCGAGCAGTTTCTCATATCACCGACTCGTCTATCAATTTTCAGCCGGCAAAATGTCAGGCGCTTATAAACAAGCTACGCTCATGCTCCCATGCAGAATTGCTAGAGGAGCTGAAGCAGATAGACGCTTGGACGTTCGGTAAATGCGAACTGTTTCATTGGGTCGACGTGTTGGATCTTAGCGACAGCATTTTAGAAGAAGCTGCAGCTAAGAGTCCGGACAATCCATGGGAATTGGCCTGTGATCTCCCTCAGAATAGAGAGGTACGGTACTACTACGATGGGATTCCTTCAACATATTGGCTCGAGCATCGGTTCTTTTCAATGCCCACGTGTCTTCCTTTGTTCAGGCGAAAGAACTTCTCCTCTGGGTCCTTCATCTTACGACGTTGTTGATCGAACATTCGTATTCGCGACATCTGTACAACAGCATGGAACACTTGGTGACTCTGTTATCGAGCTGCGACATGCACGTCGTTCTTGGTGTATTGAACATCCTTTACATGTTTAGTAAACGTAGCAATTTCATTGCGCGTTTAAACAGCGACAAGAGGCAAGCTTTACTGAGCAGACTCACTCTCTTGGCAGAGGTAAGACATGTCGTGTTTCACATGAATCGTACGAGATCCTTACGAGAGTATTCTTCGCATTCCAGAGTTGGGGCGGTAAAGAAAATGGATTCGGCTTAGCAGAATGTTGTAAGGAATATCCGGATAAGGTACGCGATGTTCTACAAACAATTTTTGTTTAACGACTGACAAACGAGTTTTGACGGAGAACTGTACTCGATTCTTTTGGTTATTCCTTTCAGCCGCTTCCAGCGAGTGCCACGACGTTGCACTTCGAATTTTACGCGGAAAATCCGACAACGGACACGAACGCCACGTCGACCAGTGGTGGTACGAAGAAATCTGGGCAAACGAACTTTGTAACGTGCATACACATAGAGAACGTGGATAAACTTGGGAAGACTCCGGCACAAATCATGAACGATCTTTTAAAAGTCTACAACGTTCCGCTGGATCGACAGATCGCGTTGTTCACCCATATAAGACTGGCACACAGCTTCTCCGATTACCGAAGACGACTGCAATGCGTCCACGCTCGGTTGCAAGCGTTGTCGATACTTGTATATAATAGCGAACTCGAGGAGAATGCGCACAGTTTGCTGCATCCTGGGCTTCTAGAAGAATTAGTCGAATTACTGGAACTTCCACACGCACATCTCGTCGAACTGCGCGCGGCAGCACTACGAACTCTGACCAGCATCATCCACCTGGATCGCAATCCCCATTCCCCGAAGAAATCTAGCTCGAGGCTGAACATGATAATCGACGTTACCGGCGCAAACTCCTACCACGGATTTTTTCCCGTGTTAATTCGCACCTGTATCTCGCAACTGATTTCCCCGCAACCCGACGGGCAGCCCTTCCCGCTGACCCTCGCCACGGCGTTGTTCAGCTTCCTCTATCACCTCTCCAGCTACGAAGCCGGCTGCGAGGCTCTCGTCAGCTGCGGGATGATGGAGAGCCTGTTAAAGATCATGAACTGGCCTGGCAGCGAATTCGAACACCTGACGTTCGTGACCAGAGCGGTACGCGTAATAGACTTGATAACGAACATAGATATGCAAGGGTTCCAAGCTCACGGCGGCCTACAGAGCTTCATCAATCGGCTCGATATGGAGGTGAACGTCTGTAGAAAGGAACAACCGTTCGAGATCGAGCCGATGCATTATCAGCAGGAGAATCCGCAGACCTCTCGCGAGAGATCTATGGAACGCGACGAGAATTCCACATCCTCGCGTGCTTTCGACGAACGCGAGGAATCCTCGAATCCCATGGAGTTCTCAGAGGACGAGAACATGAGCTCGAAAACGGACGAGAAGAACGAGCAGATTCCGGACTACTCGGGTGGGAAGACTGGGAAAATTTGTCTGCCGCAACGCGTCACGCTCTTGAAAGCTATATTGAATTTCATCAAGAAGATCATCCAGGATCCAACGTTCTCCGACAGCATCAGGCACGTGATGGAGGGAACTCTGCCATCCTCGCTGAGACACATAATCAGCAATTCGGAGTATTACGGTCCGTCTCTGTTTCTCATTGCGACGGATGCGGTCACGGTGTACGTGTTCCAAGAGCCGTCCCTGCTGTCGTCCCTGCAGGACAACGGACTGACCGATCTCGTCCTACACGCCTTGCTCATCAAAGAGATTCCCGCCAGCAGGGAGGTTCTCGGATCTCTGCCGAACGTGTTCAGCGCTCTGTGTTTGAATCAACGTGGACTGGAGTCGTTCGTGAAACGTCGCCCCTTCGAACGGTTGTTCAAGGTGTTACTGTCCCCAGTTTATCTGCCCGCGATGAATCGACGCCGGAGCACAGATCCTCTGGGCGATACAGCCTCGAATCTGGGCAACGCTATGGACGAGTTGATGAGACACCAGCCGAGCTTGAAAGCCGACGCGATCGCTGCTGTGATAAAGTTACTCGAAGAGCTCTGCGTGTTGGGCTGCGATCCTCGTAACATCTGCTTGCAAGCCGAGGTGAAGTTCGAGAATTCTCAGTCGAACGCGACTTCCGGGACTCGTCAATCCTCCACCAGAGTCGGGGAGCTGCAGCACTCGGTCGGTGTCGGGGATTCGGCTGGAAGCGGAAGAGGCGGAAGTGGAAGTAGCAGCGACGAGGAGGAAGAGGACGAAGAGGAAGCTAGTACGAGCTCTCATTCGCAGCGGGAAGAACAGTGTTCGTCGGCTGCCAGCCAACCCGTTCCTCCGCCTCAGCCTAGAGAGAAGACTCCGATAGCGCTAATGGAATACATACAGAACGTCACGAAGTTCGTCGACGCCATTCTCAGTAACAATTCGACCGACGATCACTGCAGAGAATTCGTCGCCCAGAAAGGTCTCGTGCCGTTGCTGTCGATTCTCGGTTTACCTAATCTCCCGGTAGACCACTCGGTCGCGCAAACTGCTCAAGCCGTGGCCAACGTTTGTAAGAACATCTTGAACCTCGCGCACGAACCGTTGGTTCTGAAGACCGGTTTGTCCCAGCTGAACGAAGTGTTGTATCTGCTGAAGCCGTTGTACAGTTACATGGAAGCCCCTGGGGGATCCGTTCTGTTGCACGAGCTCGTCTCCGCGCCGAATCTGGAAACGGCTTTTACCAGTGACACGGCGACTCCCCTGCTCCACGCTATGAACGCTGCTTACGGGTACATAATAATGTTCACGCAGGTGTGCCGTACTAGCCAGGGTGAGATCAGGAATCTGGCTATGAACCATTGGGGTTCGGAGCTCGGGCTCACCGTTCTGAAACGTCTCTCGGAACTGTACACTGCTCTGATCTGGGAGAGCACGGCTCTGTTAGCGTTGACCACGGAAGACTTCATCCCAGCTGGATGCGAGTTCGGGAAGGAGGACATGAACAAACTGTTGCGTCCCGAGTCGAAGAACGAAGGCGAGAGTTCTCGTTGGTCCGCCGGCACATCGTCGGACATGGGAAGCAACGGAATGACCACGGCGATGGAAGCTTTGAGCACAGATCCGCCGCCTGTACCTATGGAGGTGGATCAGGAGAAACCGGCAGCCAGCAGCACGGGAAGAGTGTCTCCGAACTCCCATCGGCTCACGTACCCTAAACACTTGCTGGGACTGACGTCGAAAATGGGTAGGGCGTTGGCAGAGTTATTCGCGTTGCTCGTAAAACTTTGCGTGGGTTCGCCGCTCAGACAGCGCAGAGGACAGCAGATGCCACCGATATCGACCCTCCCTTCACAAGCATCGCGAAGCGTGGCGACCGCCCTGAATTGGGTACTGATTCGCGGATTATCTTGGGACAAGTTACCGCCGTCCACCGTGCCCAAGCTCGACGTAACGTTCCTGATGTGCACCCTAAGTTTCGTCTCTCCCGCGCTGTTCGACGAGAAGGGATATCCGTATCATCTGATGCTTCAGAGATTCGTCAAGTTAGGCGGGCAGAACGCGTTCTTCGCCACTTTCCATTGGGTGCTGTCCGGAGGAGGACAGTTCCCGCTGTCCGAAGGTCTGGAACATCCGAATTTACCGGACTGTACCGGTGAGTTCCTGGACGGTTGGTTGATGATCCTGGAGAAGATGGTGAATCCCAAGACCCTGTTGGATTCCCCATACGCCGTCTCATCCAAGTGCCCAGGAATGTTCGAAGTTTACCAAGCGTTCGATCCGATAAAATATCTGACGGACATTCACAAGGAAGCCTTCGACGCGGTGATGCTGATGTGGGGAAAGAAACCGTTGAAGAACTACGGTGTTCACATGACCGAGCTCATTCTGTCCATCTTACGACACATTCTCCGGAGCGAACAGATTATCAAAGAGCACGCCGAGAAAGAGGAGACCAGCGAGGGCGGCGGTGTCAGCGGTAGCACGAGCAGCAGTACCAGCGGAATCGGGAGAGCTGGCCCGATATCCGATCGGAGAGAAGAACCCGAAGCGGACGTGAACCCGGAGCACCTGAGGCAATTGATGGACATGGGATTCAGCAGGACTCACTGCATCGAAGCTCTGCTTCACACGTTGACGGTCGAGCAGGCCACGGATTATTTGTTGAGCAATCCCGCTACGTTGCGGAGATCCGACGTGCCGGCGGGCGATGTCAGCGGACAAGATTTGATCATGGATCTGGAACTGGTGGACGACGATCAAATAATGCACGCGATAGCGATGTCGCTCGGAGAGACCTCGACGCCGAAGGTTTTCAACGCGGAGGAACGAGACAGACGCGAGACCACCGTCACCGTTAGAGAGAACATTGACAAGTTCACGCAAAACGCTTTGAGCCAGTGCTTGAACCTGCTCGATCTGATGCCGGACACCGTGTATCGAATCTGCGACTTGCTAGTAGCCATCGCGAAGAGAAACGGGGACGAGTGGCGCGACAACATGCTGCGACAACTCATGAAGGAGATCGGCGATCTGGTAGATTACTTGGTGGAGGTCGCGGAGAGCCAAGATCCGAACGCTGGCGCGAAATTGGTAGAGTGCAAAGAGGCAAACAAAGTGACGGGACGTATCTATCTGTACACGATGTTCTTCGAAGGAACGTTCCAAGAGATGCGCGTGCCCTGCGCCCAGGTCGTCGAGGAGTTCGCTATCCTGAACAAACTGGTGCGCCTGTTGGTGGTCAGCGAGGGTCCTCTCACGGCGAACAAGAACAGAATCGTGAAGGAGGGTGGCAAGGACACACCGTCCGCGAAGACACCCAAGTGGCTCGCACCTTTGCTCTTGCTGATAGAGCGTTTGGAGAAGGTCGCGATACTGACCAAGAGAAAAGAGACGATGTACAAAGTGACGACTAGAATGTGGAAATGGTTCGACTTGAGTACGGGCAAATGGAACTTGTATTTCCCGGTGAACAACCGAATGATCAACGATGCGTACTGGGCCGGCGAGCCTAGCGTTCGAGTAACGTGCAACAGACGAAAGTACGTGATCAACTTCTCGTGTATGACTCAAGTGAACGAGGACAGCGGCACCAAAAGACCGGTCACCATGGGCTTCAAGCTGCACACCGCGAACGAGAACGACGAATCCGCTTCCGATTCGAACATGGACACCGACGAGAATCGGGAGGAGAAGTTCGGCACCGGTCTACGAGGACTGGATCCGAGCATGGCTCCTGGCATTATACGCGCCTGTGTAAGGCTGATGGCGATTCCGGTCGATCGAGACGCCCTGCACGCTTCCATGAAAGTTTGTCTACGGCTGACGAGAGACTTCGAGAACGCCGAGGTTTTCGTTCAAGAGGGTGGCGTTAAACTTCTACTGGAGATGTCTCAGTCGAGCAGCTTCATGGGATGCATCAGCCTCTGCACGCTTCTGATCAGGCACACTCTCGAGGAGCCGGGAACTCTCGCGGTGGCTATGGAGAAAGTGATACGTGGCCGCACCCAGGCCAACATCCCCCCGGCGTGCAAGGAGATCTTGTTCATGACCCGACAGATCAACAGCGCCGTTTGTCGAAACCCGGAGGTATACAGAGAAATTTGTGAGCACATCTTGAGAGTCGACATCCGTCTGTTGGGGAAAGAAGACGACGACAATAGATTGATCGTGAAGGCGCTTCCGTCGGCTCGCCCGTTAGTAATGCCGATAGTCGAGAAATCGTCGATATCCGTTGTGAAAGATCTGTTGAACGCTCTTGTGAAACCGATGCCGGTTATCCCCGACGAGAAGTCCTCTACACCGACGAGAAGCCCGGAAAAGAAAACGAGGAACGACTATTCCGGGAACGCGGGAAGCAGTCTGTCTTCCCGGCGGGACGGTCTCAGGAATAACTCGACGACGACCACGGCTACGACAACGACCACGACTTCGACGACGAACGAGACCATCGACGAGGAGGACCAAGTTTCCCAGATAATACCGATGAAGATTTACCCGGAGAGCAGCAACAACGCGACTAAAGTGGAACCGGAGGAGACGAAGAAACCGTTGTTGGCGAAATCGGCTATTTTAAACATACTCGCCGAGGCTGTCCGCTCGTACAGCGGGGTCGCGAGCTTGATCACGGAACACGTGTATCGCGCGGGACAGAGCGAGATGGTGCCCGAGTATACCTCGGCGCTCGCTTTCCTTCTGGACAAACTCTTACCGATGTCGCCGGAAAACTCGAGCGACAGGCAATGCAGCAGTATGACCAAGACGCTGATAAACGCTATCGCCTCGTGCAACTATTCTCACGAGGTTCAAACGACCTTGGTGACCGAAGTGAAAGCGGCCTTGTCGAGAACCCTGGCTCTTCCCGAGAGCTCGGAGAAGCATGCACAGATACAGCTGTTGGTCGGTCTGATCTCCACGATGATCGATCATTGCCCACCGGCCTCGCACAATCAATTGAGAACGTCTTTAAAGATACATCAGCACAACAACGTGAACCATATCGTCAGGATCATGTTGAGAAAAGGAATAATCACGGATTTGGCAAAGATCCCGCACAGCCTGGACCTCTCGAGCCCGAACATGGCTGCTACTATTAACGCGGCCCTCAAGCCGCTGGAGACACTCTCCAGAATCATAAATCAACCGATGCCGGGCGCTGTGAACAATAAATTCGCCAAACCGAAGAGCAGAACCGTCCAAGAGGAACCGATCGGGGAACAAACGGGAACCACCACGTCGGAGACGACGCATGCCGTTGGCGAGGAACCGAACGAGGACGCGGAGAACACAGAACACGACATATCTGTGACCGCGGAGAGCCTCGAGCCAACCTCGGAGAGTCAACTCCACGAGGCCGAAGCTGCTCTGGAGGACATAATGGATCAGCTTCTCGAGAGGTAACACATAACGTGAAATCGTGTCTTGGTCAAATTTCATTTCTGTCATATATATGTATGTATACGTATAAACTGCTGTACTTATGATCAAGTAGTGTGCTGTTTTCCAGGAACGGTTCCGGCGTGGCGGAAGATCAATCCTCTCGACCGCACAGGCCAATGGACATCGACGAAGAGAGCCTCGCCATCCGTGACGGGGAAGCTGATTTCGATCCGACCCGTGATGCCACGGTAAGTGTCATGTTACGTCACATAATACTGTTCGACGCTCGAGACGATGTGAACTGATGATTTCGTTCTCCAGGAGGATTTGATAAGTTCCGATTCAGATTCCGACAGCAATCCGTCCGATGACAACGAGGACGAGGTGCAAGACGACGAGGACGAGGAGGAAGAGGAGGAAGATGGTGAGTCGTTCGATTCGTTTTGTCGGTACGAATCGGGTGTGAAACGTTGAATTGTCTTTCTCAGGTGAAGAGAACGAGGAGGAGGAGGAGGAAGAAGAGGAGGAAGGGTCCTCGAATTACGAGGAGGATGGAATAGAGTTCTACGAAGACGTGGGCGAGAGCGGTGTATTCCGAATGATTCCATCGACGGATCGCGACGGTAGCAGCGTCGTAATGATTCGTCATAACATCGATAATCAGGACAACGTGAATTCTTCTACCACGGTCGCACCTCGTTCCAGTCTTCCATGGAGTACAACGTTTCCTCTTCCGTTGGGCTTGTTCGAGAATCCACCGTCAATTTCCGAAAGCAGCGGTAGGTACATTCGATCCTGACTCGGTTTGAGATCGAACGGAAAATGTAATTCTTCTTTTCTCACACATTCAGGTATTCACTCCCATTCTCTGCTGATATCGCAAGGCGGTTTGGACACTGCCAACGCGAGAGCTCAGAGAACCGTGCGACCACGAAGGTATCAGTATCTCCAGATACCGAATCCACGCAATCCGAATCCACCGGTAATATTGCAAAGGTGAGTCGAATCATTTAACGATACTCGAATCGTGAGATTGAAACGCTGAACACCAACTCAGTCCGCCTCAAATGTACATTCATTGTGCAAATTCTACGCGTTTCGTCGTACGGTCTGTATAACGTTTGACGTTCGCAGGCTCTTGGGACCAGCTGCACAAACGATCCCTCTGTCCGCCAGTCAAGTTCTGGCTTCGAGTTTCCGAGATACGCGCGTCGTCGTAATGGATGGAGTCGGTCTGTTGACGAATCAAGAAGAAGAGCAAATAGATTTCGTTGTACGTAGATCGCGGCTGTTAATTATTTATCGGGACCTATCCTTCACGTACATCCATCCACGTTTATGGAATTTGTTTCAGGACCAATCCGGCTATCTTTTTGGCTCCAGCCTCGCAACGACCGTGAACAACATCCCAACGGCGTTGCACTGGTGGATCGAGGAGAGTAAACTGTTAGATGGGGATTCACAGACGGATTGTTGTGTCGGTGAGTGTGTGAACATTTATCTTATTTATTGATCAATAAATTAAACTAATAGTTCGTCGTTTCCTAATATCGTTATTCGTCTCGAAGCTGTCGTGCGTGAATTGATTCCTGGATTGGAGAAACGCAGGAACGCCGAATTGGGAGAACGACGAGAAAGACGTAAGATGCAGTACGCTTCGGAGAAGAAAGCTGAAAAGGATAACAAAGAGACAAAGGATCATCTGAACAATACGGAATGTACGTTGACCGTGACTGATCGTTTTCACCATTGAAATATCTCAAACATATTTCGTAACGTACGATTCTTCTTCTTAGCTGGTTCTTCCACGATAACCATGGACGATCAGATATCGATGGCGTCGACGTCTCAGCGGGAGGATACGAACAACTTCGTTTCTCGATTCCAGACTTGTCTGGAGGGAATAGAACGTACGCTCGACGAAGACATAATCGGTAACGTTGTCTATACGCCTCGTTATATTTATTCGCAGCGTTCACGCTGGACGTGCAAGAGATAAAATATTTTCAGACGTGACCGGTGAAATGGACGCGACGGTTCAAGAAGACGAAGTACGAACTTCGCCTACGCTGCTGGTAGAACAGCCACCGGAGCCCAGAGATCCTCGAACCAATCGAAATCCATTGGAATTCGCTGAAAGCATAGTAGATTCCGTCCTCGGACCTTGCGCGTCCGAAGCAACCAGACTGAGTAATTTCATTTCGTCAGAATCGTCGAATCGTCTAGTAAGGATCCTTTTTTATCACGTTCACTGATTCGTTCACAGGGCAAACTGAACGTACCGTCGAAGGGTCGAACGTTAACGAAGCAACGAGTCGTCCGAACACCTCTATAATCGTCGACTTCAGTCAAGAACCTAACGAGGACATACTGAGAGAAGGTGATTCGTCCGATTGGATAAGAATCTTTACGGATGACAATCAGACGAATGCCGAGCGAAAGTAAGTACTCGGATCTTCGTCGACGATTTGGAAAGGCTCGAGGCAGAAAGGAATTAAGTTACGTTTCCGTTGTGTAGTGCGAATATTCTTAATCAAGGACCTACGACCTCCACGTCGGAGAGTGTGAGCGCAGAGGTACCAGAACAGCAGCAGCAGCAGCAGCAGCAACAACCACCGCCACCACCTCCGCCGACGCAGCATCAACCGGATCAGCCGCAACAGTTGCAAGAACATGCTGAACAGCCGCAACAGCAGCAGTCACAGCAGGCGCAGCAGCAGCCACAACAGCAGCCGCAGCCGCAGCCGCAGCCGCAACCGCAACCGCAACAGCAGGCACAGCAGCAACCACAGCAGCAGCAGCCGCAACAGAACCAATCTCAAGAACAGCAGCTACCAGATGGTGTCGATCCATCCTTCTTAGCTGCATTACCGGAAGACATGCGCGACGAAGTCATAGCCGAGCAATTGAGGCTTCAACGAATTCGTCAACGAGCACAAGCCACCGTCGAAGTATTAACGGGCCCGGTCGAAGTGAACCCAGAATTCTTAGCGGCTCTACCACCGGCGATCCAAGAAGAAGTTCTGGCGCAACAGCGTTTGGAACAACAACGACACGCAGCCGCGAGCGCTAATCCGGAGGATCCGGTTGACGCAGCTGCGTTCTTCCAGAATTTACAGCCTTCCCTTCGGCAAGCGGTCAGTTGATAATTTCTATTTTCTAATTTGTCGTTCGTCGTTCGCCACGATTCGTCTCGTTGATCCTTGTTCTTCGCTGGTCACGTATTCAGATTTTGACCGACATGGAGGAATCGCAAATATCTGTACTTCCTCCGGATCTGGCCCAAGAAGCTCAGAATCTTCGAAGGGAATGGGAAGCTCGAAATCGACACATAATTCAGGATCGTTTTCTCACTCACGTTAGCCACGGAAATGCTGCCTTGTCTAGTATACTGCGAAACCCTGGTAGAGGTAATTATCAATTCTTTCGTGTCGGAGATTCGTTCGAGTCGCGGATATCCGATCACCGAGAACTGAACCGAGAAAATGTTAACAGGTAGAGGTGGTGGAACGCGTTATGCGATTCATACGGTAGCACAAAGAGGATGGCCGTCGTTTACACGTGGTGATCCTAGCATAACGCATCACGGAGCAGGTCTACGACTCAGAGGCAGACAATTGTTGGATCATGAGTCGATGGCTTGCATATTGGTATTACTGTTTGTTGATGAACCAAAAATTTATACGTTAAGGCTTCATAAAGTTATCAGGAATCTTTGCTATCACGGTAGCACAAGGGAATGGGTAGTTAGAGCCTTACTAAGTATCATGGAACGAAGTAACGATGAGAACAAAGATATAGCCATGGATTTTGGCGGAAAGTTTCGAAGGAAAAGTTTGGTGCCAATGATGCACCACGACTACTGGTAATCAAGCAGTTCCAAACATTCATCAGAACTCGTTATCTTCCGAGTTTTAGCTAATTCCGAGTCCGTTTCAGCGCCCCGAAGATCTTTGACCAAAGAAGCAACGCACAATCGTGGCTGAACATCAGTATTGACGCTGCACTCGGATGTAGAGCGAACGTTTTCCACGTCGTGAGGCACGGTGGTAAAAAGTCGGAGAGGCAAGGCAGCAGTATCGCTATCCATCCGCAAGCGGCACCGACGGTCTGCAGGTGAGTCGATCAGCTCGACGGCCATCAACCGTTTAAACGATGTATCTCCGTTACTTTAAACGTGTCCGTATTTGTTCAGGCACACACTGGAATTACTTGTATTCTTGGCTAAGAGCTTCCCTGGCTATTTCGTGCCGATCAAATCTAAAGAGTCCGACGAAAAGGAAAGTAACAAGGAGAGAGACTCTGGCAATAAAGAGGAGACCGTTTCGAAGAATAAATCAGCGTCGAAACCGGGAAAGAGCGATCAACCAGATTTTTGGGACATGTTATTGAAGCTCGATTCGTGTGCCTCAAAGAAGGGGAAGTCGGTCGCCAGGTCACACTCGAACTCGAATTTAGGAAACGATTCGGAACATAGTACAACCACCTTCGAGTCCTCTGCTTTCGGTCAACTGATCTCGATGCTGAACTGGTCGGTGATCAAACGCAGCAGCCAGTTGACGGACAAACTGTTGAGACTGTTGTCCCTGATCTCGATCGGACTGACGGAAGCGAATCCGTATCGCAGGCAAGAGGAGAAGAAGAACAAGAGGGCGGACATGAACAAAGAACAGAGCGTCGCTGCGCCGGAAGAGCATCTGAAATTAGCCGTGCAGGTGCTGACCAGCAAGAGCTGTTCCGAGGAAGGTCTCGAAGATGCAACGGCTCTGTTGCTCAACTTGTCTCACTGTCCCGACCCTACCAGACAATTGGTAACTAACGCTCCGTACACACGTGACGTACACGTTTCAACGATCGATCTATTCCTGATCCGTGCTGTTCCAGATACTGAAACTGCTGTTGGAAGGCGCCATGGAGTTGGCGAACGTCGTCTGCGAGCACATCAAAGATTTATTAATGGAGCTGAAAGTTCTGAATCACGAACTGAGACGGAACTCTATCGAGGAGCAACCGTCGACCAGCACCGGTGGTCCACGCGGCGTTCTCTTAGACAGGTTTACGAACGAGAGCGTGATCGTTACTGCGCCTAGCAAGGTGAAAGCCGGTAGCGATCTCCAGTTACCATCGATGGCTGCTCTTGTTAGCAAAACTTCTAGTCAGGCATTCTTCTTGAGAATACTTAAAGTGATTGTACAAATAAGAGAAGCAGTACGTTTGGCAAACAATAAAAAGACGCGTAAGTTCGAGAGCTTCGAAACTAGAGGAGAACGCGAGGAACATCATGTCGAATTACTTGTCTGTCTTTATTTTAGCTAATCAAAGTTCCGAGGGCTCCGCGGACACTGGGAACACTAATCAAGCCTCAGACTCGGGTATAATTTTGTTCCCTTCGTACATACGTAGACAGACTCGGGTAAAAATAAATGTGTTTTTTTTATGCTCATTTAAAGTTCATGCTCCCGTAGGTGAAGACAAACTTCCATTATTGAGCGAGAGTTTGGTACTGGATCACTTGTGGGAAACGCTCAGCGCTTGCTTGTTAGAACTGGAATATACTCCTGATCAACACGCAGTCTTGGTTCTGCAGGTAAGTTATTTGAATTCGCTACGCCCTTCCTTTTATACACATATGTATATATGTGCATTCTTAATCGCTCTTAATGTTCGTTCAGCCCGCGGTGGAAGCATTCTTCTTGGTACACTCGTCGTCCAGTACATCTCGCGATCGTCATTCGAATACGAACGCGGAGAACCGTGAAGTCGTCCCTGACCTGACACCCGTGTCCCCGATATACTCGGACAACGAGGGCACGTCCCAATCGGAAGCGACCATCAACACTTCTTGGGACATGCAGCCTCCGCCACAGAAGACGCTACCGCCGGACCAGCTCAAGTTCCTTAAGTTTGCTGGTACGACAATTCTTCCAATTGGTCCGAATTCAGCTATACGGGGACTCGCGTCTCATCTTTACGTTTTTCTGTTCGTTGTAGAAACGCACAGAACAGTGTTGAACCAAATACTCCGTCAAACGACTACGCATTTAGCGGACGGACCGTTCTCCGTATTAGTGGATCACACGAGAGTCCTCGATTTCGACGTAAAAAGACGATACTTCCGGACAGAATTGGAACGAATGGACGAAGGTATCCGCAGAGAAGAATTGGCAGTACACGTTCGCAGGAACAACGTCTTCGAGGACTCGTTCCGCGAACTCCATAGGCGAAACGCGGACGAATGGAAGAATCGTTTCTACATCGTGTTCGAAGGTAAGCGACGATCAGCCGAAATAACTTGGGATCGTTTTATTTAATTTGAAAATGATTTTCCCTCAGGCGAAGAAGGACAGGATGCCGGAGGATTGCTCAGGGAATGGTACGTCATCATCTCCAGAGAGATTTTCAATCCTATGTACGCTCTGTTTACTGTGAGCCCTGGGGATCGAGTCACGTACATGATAAACTCCTCTTCTCATTGCAATCCTAATCACTTGTTTTATTACAAATTCGTCGGTCGCGTCATCGGTGAGTTCTCCTTCCTTCGATCCTCCCTTTGACGACGTTGTACAAGAGACTGACGTTATCAACTCTAATTACAGCTAAAGCGATTTACGATAACAAGTTACTCGAGTGTTACTTCACGCGTAGTTTTTACAAACACATTTTGGGGATACTAGTGAAACACACCGATATGGAAAGCGAGGATTACAGTTTTTATAAAGGCCTCGTTTATCTCACGGAGCACAATATCGCCGATCTTGGATATGAATTAACGTTCTCCACGGAGGTAAGTGAAACGTTCCATTTCTCATCTATGCACGTTCCTCGTCACGATCATCTTATTAATCGGCGACTTGCAGGTAAACGAATTCGGTGTGAACGATGTTCGAGATTTGATACCGAACGGGCGTAACATCGTTGTTACCGAAGAAACGAAATTAGAATATATCCGGCTCGTGTGTCAAATGAAAATGACTGGAGCAATTCGTAAACAGTGAGCAGAACGTTTTATCGCTTGGATAATTTCAAGTCGTGGTCTGTACGGCCGGAGGACTCACGTAAGATCTCTTATTTGTTCGCAGATTGAATGCGTTCCTAGAAGGTTTTTACGACATTATTCCGAAACGACTGATCTCTATATTCAACGAGCAGGAGCTTGAACTGCTGATTAGTGGATTACCTAATGTAGATATTGAAGATCTTAAAGCTAACACCGAATACCATAAATATAACGCGAACTCGTTGCAAGTAAGTACTGTTGCCCGTTTTCCTAAGGTTTAGTTCCAATTTCTGAATTCGACCGTGTCAACTCGTATCTTTGCCCGGAACATAGATTCAGTGGTTCTGGCGAGCACTGCGCGGTTTCGACCAGGCGGACAGAGCCAAGTTCTTACAGTTCGTCACTGGAACTTCGAAAGTGCCGCTGCAAGGTTTCGCTGCTTTAGAGGGAATGAACGGTATACAAAAGTTCCAGATTCATCGTGAGGACAGATCGACAGACAGGCTTCCGTCAGCGCACACATGGTAAGTCCTCTTGCTACCGTCGCTTTAGTCGCGTCGACTATCGAGCATACGTTCAACGTTCGCGTTCTATGCTTTCAGTTTCAATCAGCTAGATCTACCTGTGTACGAGACGTACGACAAGCTTCGCACGAACCTGTTAAAAGCCATCCACGAATGTAGCGAAGGGTTCGGTTTCGCCTAAATCTTTTGCCGAGTTAAGCAAAATTTGCATGGTTTAAAAGCCACAATAAAAAACATCGCAGAGCGAAGACGCGAGAAGATGAAAAGTGAAACATCGGGAGAACGATTGAAACGTCGATTAAAAATTGTATAAGTATCGATCGGGGTCTTCGCTCAAGATCTAGTATATATGAATTTTTACTCCGCTGTATACATATTAAAAGTAAAAAACGTATGTATATACGTAAAATTAACGATGTAATTACCGATGATTCGTCGCTAGAGTTTATTTTGTTGAACAGATCATTGAGAACGAAAAAATATGGGAAACGCAGAGCTTAACATTAATTCCCGTTGGATGGTGGAAAGGGAGGAAAAATAGTAAAAAAAAAAGATTGAAATTGGATACTTTAGTTAAGGAACTTAACGGTTAAGAGATAACAGATAAGGATTCAGTAATTCATCGTTAAAAGGAGGGATCGCAGCGGGCTGGATATATTGTAATATATAATGATTGTGACCCGAAGCCGCTCTTCTCTATGAACGGATTCGGATACCACCACTCCCTACTTGGTACGGGATGAGAACGGAAGACGAATTGTTGCCGTGACGAGAAAGCAAATAGCGATGTAGACACGTGTGCCTGTATCGCGAGTACATGTTTATTTCCTTGTATCATCTCTTACGGAAGAAAGTCCGCGGAGAGCTAATAACGAAACATCTGGATAGGGAGGAGACGTGTTGTATGCGAACGCGCGAATGTATGTGTACGTGCTGTGTGTGAGTGCGAAACAGAGAATAATTATTATTCAAGAAACCGATTAGACACGAGCCTAAATACGAGAAAAACAGAACGTTTCATGATGTTATATCCTTAATGCCCGCAAGAAAAAAAAATGTATGGTTGTACACTATTAGTATTAATAATTATATTACCTAATTCTTAATCGGTAGTAGTAATCATTAATTATTATCGTTTTAATATTAATCATTTGAGAAATGTGATGTTAAAATGGAAGTCATGTAATGTTTTCTCCTCTTTCTTTTTTCGACCTGTACCATCTGCCCTCTCACCCGCCCATGCATATAGAGCAAAATCACGCCCACGCCACCGTCGACCACAACACCCCGCCTCCCCCAAATTCTCCGATCTTTGAGCGATCCGTATCCCCGGACCACATCCTCCATCGATTTCAATCTCCGAGAGACGCTTCTACTCCGGGGAAACGTAACGGCGAGGCAAACCGCGACCGAACGGATGTTAATTTTTGTAAACACATCGAATGGGACAATATAACGTTGAGAAAAAGCATAGATCCATCGGACTCTTTTTCGCGGTATATCGTTAGGGAGTTATGGCTTAGAAATTCGCAAAATAAACTAAATGTTGTATTTCTTATAAAAAGCATTGCGTCGTTTCTTTTTTTCTAAGTAATGCCGATCACGATGACGATACCTTTCATTTCATTTCCACGGACGCTGCTCCCACGCGTACGTTACATACGTTTGTGTTCGGGTGAATAAGTACACGCAGGATGAAAAATGTAAACTGTAATTCAATTGCATGTTGGATTTCAAATTTATAACTTACAATTCAATGTCATTATTATAACGAAGTAATGCTGAAACATTTCTCGTGTAAAAAAGCAAAGAGCATAGGACAGTCATATTTTACGTAAACAATTGTAATGCGATTACGATTATAAAATCTATTATCTGAAAACGCACCACAGGTCTTAAAAGAAATCGAAGAAAAGAAGATACCGTCGTTTCTCCGATTTTACGGCGATGATTTCGGCTTTAGTTCCTCGAAGCATGGCCTGAGGAATATAGAATTCTTCTTAGCTGGATTATAGTACTCGTGACCCTGTAGCCAAAGACAGATTCCGGTTTATTCGTTTATTCCGATACCGTCGAAGAAGTTGATCGTACAAGAAAACGAATAATTACTTTCGACCAGTCGTAAGACACTGCGTATGCAAATATTTGCCCATTGTGATTGAAGCAGCACCGAGTAATCGGCTGCTCCATTGGTTCCGAGGATTTCAGCTTGGTTCTCGCGTCTTTGTCCCAAAATCCGAACGTACCGTCAGCTCCGACGGTCGCAACGGTACCGTGGACCGGGTGAAACGCGATGTCGTTCACCTGATTACGATAAAGTCGTTAGAAGGACCGAGATCCAGGGAAATGGGGAATAGCTCGATAAAATTGGTATCAACCGCGTAAATATCTTGGTATCCGTTGGGGGTCCCGTTCGTCCTGTGGCATTTGAAAGTAAAGTTATCTTTCGAGCTTGCATTTAAATGATGTATCGCTACTCGACCCTCCGTACTGCCAATCGCGAAACCGGTAGGAACTTTCTTTTTGTCTCTAAAAATTGCAACGCATCTATACTGATATTTTAAACTCAATTCCACCGGCTTGTATTCTCTGGGAGTGCCTTCCAATTGGTAAACTATCAATCCGCGTCCCGCGGTTCCTACTACTGCCATTGGATAATCCTGCAACGATCAACAGACGTTAATTTGACCAATTCTAATTAAAATTCTTTATCGTGCATTGGAATACTTGCGACGTCTGCACAGTAACACCTCTCGATCAAGTTTATGTTCATCGCGAGCTTGGAGCTTCTAAGATCCCAGAACTACAAAGTAAATTGTTTCACTGCTAGTTCATACATGGCTCGACTTTGACCGAGAGTACTTACCCTCAGTGTCTTGTCCCAGGAACCTGTCATCAGGCAAGAATACGTGCTCGCTTTGATCCAATGACAAGTTTTAATAGGTGCATCGTGTAAAGCGACTTGAATACATTGATTCGACGCCAAGTCCCAGCACTTGGCGGTTTTATCACAGCCAGCCATAAATACCTTCGTCCCGTCCTGAACAACAGTAAAATAAATTCATGCTGGATAACTCGATCCATTTCAGACACTCCATTTCATAGACGCTTACATCGCTCCACGCGACGTCGAAAACTGGGGCCGCCATGGATTGTATCGATTTAGGAACCGTTTTACCGGACTGCTCCACTTCCCAGCAACGAACATTGCAATCCCAAGAACCGGCAACTAGAAAATTCTGTGGAATCGAAGCCGGACTGAATGCAAGGCTGGAGATGGAATCGTCCGGTGGCGAGACAACCTCGAAATCTTGCATCGGATTCGAACTAGTCGTCGTGCCTGTTCTTAATCCTACGCTTTGATTGAACATCCTTTATGATCGCTGATGATCAATTTCCCTTCGGATGCTCTTAATTTTTAAGTTACGAGATAAATTCCTTCTACCAGTTATCTTTAATAAATTCAAGTATTAGAGATAAATAAAACGGTTATCCTCGATTCTTGGCGGTCGCACTACGCGCACTACTGGCTGGTAGGGTCTGCCATCTGGCGCAGGCCGCAGGATCTAAGAAGGCCGCTTGGCGGTCGTCAACGCTAGATGGCGCCCCGAACAACTCCAAATTCATTAGAGCCAAGCACTTCCGCGGCCAGAACGCTAGATGGCGCCACGAGCAACTCCAAAATCACACGTTTTAAAATGATAATTAACCTAATAATTGATTAAATAATAAGTAAATGATACAATGAACGAATAACGTTTATTATATTTATAATTTACACTGTTCTTGTATTTTTACATTCCCTTTACATTCAATTTCAAAATAAAATTACATCAGTAACTATTTATCCAGACGTAGGTCAAAATTGTTTTTATTTTGACGTGTCAAACAGTATCGACCACAATTCTATAAACGCCTGATCGAGCATTGAAAAGATAAGACGTACATTTATTAACACTCGTTTTGAATTTTGTCCCCTAGGAGAAACTAACACATGCACAATCTGGCTCAGTTTCGTTGTTACTAGCTGTGCTGTATGTACGACAGTACGACAGTACGACCGTGATTCGAATGCGCGAGTAACCTCTAAAAGCAACGCCGTGTCACTTCACGTGATCAATTCAAATTAATCGTGATCGCGCGAGAATGTGAAAATTCAATGTATCAATCGTCGAACGGTCGATCTTTGTGTTCACAGAATATAAACATTTGAACTGTGAGAATGAATTCGTTGTTGGACGACGATATATTTGCACCTAGCGACGAGGATTTGTTGGAATCCTCTCCTACGAAATGCAATCCGGTGAAGGATCATTTGATGAAACAAATGTCTGACATTGAATCGCGGATCGAGAAAAAGAAGGCTGCTATTAAAGAGATTCAAGACGTGACACAGAGTACTTTAGAATGTTTATACGGTCAAGCCTTGTGTGGAGAAGATAAGACTGGGAATTTTGATAAAGACGTGAGTTACTTTAAAACAAGAGAAAACGATGAGAACGAGAACGAGAGTAGATACTCGTATTGCGAAACAATTTAGTTTGATGTATTATAATTACAATTTACAGTTGTATGATATAAATGGGAAGCCGATAATGAAGAAAGTAAAGAAGAATGAAGAATATTTGTTGGACGAACCTCTCCCAAAGTATTTATTTGTCGGGGAAATTTGGAAACGTGTCCTTTCTGACAAATGGGTTCTTGGAATACCACTGAAAAACTGCAGCCAGACGTGAGTACATTTTAAACAAACATCATTGATTGCCATCTCGTTCGATCAATGAAATTAAATAAGATTCATTTCCTACACACGATCGATCGTTTCGTCAAATTGTTTTATTTCATAAAATAATTATTGTCACTTTACGTTCATGGTCTATATAAAATTATAAGAAGTCGAGACTTGTTCGTCGTTACAAATTAGATTTCATAATAGAACGTCCTATTCCAATAGATTTAAGTACTCCATAAAGTTTCGTAATTTTATTTTATAAAAAAGGTTTGCTCTGATGTAAAGTTTTAATCCTGCTTAACTTAATCGATATCTACTCCTTATAAGACGTAGTAATTAAGCACTGAAAGACTTAGACGTATCTATATGTGACTCGGTGTCGTGGAAGTTCTATAATTTAACGTATATCTTAAAATCATCGAAATACATGCTACATCTTCTTGAGGCAGTATTACTATCATTGGTACAATGATAATAATAACTATTTTCAACAACGTTCGTGTCAACACATGTATATACTATATTCATATAATATAATAATAATACTTATACATAATATGTACATACATACATATAGAATCTGAGAAAGAGTATGCATCCCTCGAAACAATGAAACGTGGAGATGTGACGTACTCAAATTAAATTGATATTATAAATTCGTCGAGCGCGTATCGCGATGCACTTTACAAAAATTAACAAACCAGGATGCTCTCCAGAACGAATCGATTATTCCCATTCGATGTTCAAGCAGATAAGATCGAGAACTTTTGTTCATCTTGTAAAGTAAAAAGACCACTGTCACGAAAAGTATTTAAACAACGGGATACTCTTACAGGTACCATGCACGTAAAATCATTCTCGTTCGTTGATTCGTAACAATTTACAATCTCCACCTTTAGGCCCTAACAATCGAACATACTATAACGTTTATCAAAAATTTAAATGCAGCTTCACTCTGTTAATTCGATTAGTTGTTGGTGCGTTTCCTTGTCTTCGTTTTAGACCGAGAGTCGTACCGTGTTTCAGTAGGTACGTTCGTTGTGATCGACTTCTAACGTCGTTTAAGTCCGTCGACGATTATTTTTTACAAATCAATTCAGTTTCTTCGTCCCTTCCGAGCGCTATGTAATCGTCGGGCGAATAATCGAACAGTACAAAATCGTACCTGAAATACAAAGATCATCCTGTTGATTAGTAAAGGGAAAACACATGAAGGGGGCATATTTTAAAGAGAAATTACAATCTCTTACCTGAACATCTCGTAGAGATCATTGATCTGCAATTTAGACAATTGAGCGAAGTAATTTTTGATCACGTCCTTCGTCTGGACGCCTCTGGTAGGGTTCTTCCATTCTGGCTTAATGATATTGCCCACCTGAGCTCGCTTTATGAGATAATCTTGGTCTTCCTTTAAAACCGATCGAATAATTTTTATCAAGCGAGAGAGCATACCGAAGAGCGTAAATTTGAACACTGTCTCTCTCTCTCTCGAGAGAGAGAGAATACTCACGTGCAGCGTTTCGAACTTGGCGATCACGTCGAACCGTACTTGACACGGTGTACAAAAGGTGACGATCGGTGTCCAGTGCATGTCGAGCTCGTTCCCGGCTTTCCACTGGCACAACAACCATCGTACAAATTCCTCGAACAACGGGTACCTCGGTCCGTGCCTTCCAGCGGTCTTCGAATCCGAACAATCAACGTTACAACCATTTGTCAAACTCGAATGTTGATCGTTAAAAATCTGACGGAACGATGTCTACGGTTATCTTACTTTGGTTCTGTAGTTCCACACGATATGGGTACCGAGGTTACTGTGAAACGTATGCGGCAAGCTGTGCTCCAATTTATCTCTGTAGGCGCTGAGCAATCTTTCGAACGGGTGCCTCACGATCAGGAAGCTGATGCTATCGTTCAAAAATTTGCTCAACTCCTCCGCCGTGTGTCTCGGATACTTCTGCCTCGCCAGCGAAACTGGCACGGCTTTCGATGCTTTCAGGAATTGTGGGCTGTACCTTGAAACGATAATCGATCATCCAAAGTCTTTTGAAGAACGTCAGGAAGTTTGCGAGGAGATCTGGAAATGTATTCCTTACCCTGCGAGTAGATTAAAATTGTACATCCAAGACGTGGAAGCCGCTTTGAAGACGTTGCACCATATCAAATGGTATTCTCTGTTCACGAGGAATTCCCAGGCATTAGGCTTGTGAAGTGAATCGTTTCCAGGTCGGTCGAGTTCCTCTTCGGCGCATTTCTGCGCCAGGAACTTCTTCCTGGAGTACAATCGTTTCTCAGTCTCCGCGAACGCCGCTTCTTCCATCAATCTCTCCTCTGGCGTCAGGTTCGAATCCTCCTGACAACGAAACGTGCACAAAATGAAATTCGAACAAATTCATTTGATTTTATTATCTCCTATATGACTCAGTGGAAATTCATTGAGATAAGAGCATCGTAGATTAATAATTGTGGACGTTTCGCGAAGGTTAAACGATTCGAATCACGAGCGACGCTCATTAGTTTTCAGCTAATTAAACCCGTGGCCCGCAGCTTTGGCATTGAAAGTTGCCCGGTTTTAAAGCTCGTTTTCTTGGTGCACGCGACTACGTACGCGCTGCTACGTGTGCGCTGTGCGCTTCTGCACGCAAGGTTACTTCAATTTCCTAATTTTTGCAATTAATCGGAACGCTCGCCGCACGTTATTCGGTGTTACGCGTTTCTACGCCTACTTGACGCATTGCGGTCAAACGCTTGGGCCAGATTCTTGGCATAATTGTCGTACAGTATCCGCTTCCTTAAGAAGTGGACCGGGTTAACGTCATACTGGCTTGGCTTTGTACTTGGCTTAACAAGCGATTGAATCACTGCGTTAAACGAGGAAACCCGTGGTCAATCTTACAAAATCTCTTCGAGTACTCCGAGAATTACCGCGTAAGCCCGAGTCCGCGAAGGCGCGTGGCTCGCACTAATTCTGTCTAATCCCAAGACCTTGGAAACGGTCATAAGTTAATCGATACTTGGTCGCGGTTTTACGACTTACGTATCTATGGAAAGCCTCGACGAATGCAAAGAGAAAGAAATCCCTCCTCTCCCTGCGTGCGCTCGATATACGATCTACCGGATATGGTGAGCAGGAACGAGGGGGAGATCTGACGTTTATGCACGACGCGAATATATAATTGTCACAAGATTTCTCAAGACGCACGGAAACGTCTTAGAAACCCTAGAACCTTTTATAACTTGACTCGTCGGAGCGCTTACGGCGACTCGGAAGCCGACTTGAGGGATAATTCAGGCATCCCTGCCTGAGAATCATTTATTAGTCATTTAAACGCGTCACTGGATAATTTTATTAGGGGCTGAGAACTCGATCTAATTCGTTCCGGATATCGATGATCGAGTAAATTGAAAATCTTGGATCTTCGACGTTCTCCTGATCGATCGACTCCTGTATTTTATCGCAGCAAATCCTTTTCGCCGAGAATAAAAGATAGCGTCGTCGATGAAAAGATCTTTTTACGGCCGAGGGTGCAGCGCGATAGCTGTGACCAGGCGGAAACGCCGAATACAGTCCCGGCTTCCGTTTATTGATTTCGGTCTGGAGGCTGCACCGACGTCGTCGACGACGACGCCGACGTCGACGACTCAGATATGGGCCACACGGGTGGTGCAACGTGCGCTGCATTTCGCTTCCGTCCACGTGCCGCACGCACCCATGTGCGTTCCCGAGGAACATCGTTTTCGCACATATCAAATTTGAAATTATTCTGAGTCGGTGGGGCATTGATTTCCTTACAACACCTGACGGACATGCATTTTCGAATGACGTTGAAACTTTCGACTCTCAGCTCGATGATGATGAAAATTACCCTGTCGGAAATCAAGTTGTAGACACAATCGAATTTGATTTTTTATTACTATTTCGTAACTCTGAGACCAATAAGTTTGTACGATAATCTATAATTTCGTTCTAACAATCAGCCAAAAACTTTTCCAATCACGAACGAGTCGATTCAATTGTGTCTCTGTGGAATCACGATTTCTACCTAACAACAAGCTTATCGTCAGGCGAGAACTTGTAATTCCATTTATTAGAAGCGAGGAAGTGTTGGTTGGTAAATGAAATAATAAGTACGAGAGGAAATTTCCTCTTTTTATTCTGCGGGCGAACGGGCCTGAAGTACAATAACGAGTCTGCTGTATTACTCTCGAAGTCTCCGCAGAGACTGATCTCACGAAACCTCGATCATCGACGCGTTGAAAACTCTTGATACAATCTAGAGAATCATATGAGATAAAGATATCGCGTCTCATCAGATATTTCATGCGTTCTTTAATTAAAAAACATCTCGTGACTTTGAATTTACATTCAGATACGTTCTTCTGATCTCTGCATCGTTGAAACGTTGCAATTAGAACGCGTGACTTCGTTTCCACGTTCGCGGCTGTTCAGAGATCGATGGGAGATAATCTGCGGATGCATCTAATGGTTTTTGTTCCCCCGGCATTAGTTTCGCAATAAATTGCTCGAAACGATGTTTATCCGGTTTGATGTGCTCGTCGCAAAGAGGGGCATTGCACGAATTGTTTTTTGAACGAAATGTCTCACGGCAGACGATCTTCACTTTCCCCTTGTTAAGAAATCTCCTGGCAACGAATTCTTCAAATTAGTTTTAACGCGTGATCTCAGCCGAGGAACACGTTCCACGATTGTCTGACTAATTAAAAGGAGGGAAACGAGCTAATTATAAGGACGATATGCATCGGACGACGGAGGAACCGAGCGTCAGAGAACCGCACGAGGAATCGATGTTGTATTAAAAAGAGATGATGTTTGACATATTGAAAAAGTAAAAAGGTAACTCTTCTGTCTGTAGCATCTATTTTCAGACGACGTGTATACATATTTTCCTGCATCATCGAGAGTCAAATCTCGAGACGACCACGTGTATCACGACGACGCGCGTACGTACACATTACGTAAGACGCGGTATCTAGTCGTATAATTCTTGGTCACAGAGACGTAGGTCTCTACTAGAATCGGTGTTCTATTGCGAATCGTCGAGCGAGAAATCGTGCCGCGACATTTCCCCGGGCAGGGAGAATCGTGTCGCGCGAATACCTGAATCCGAGTCGTCGAACACCGTCCTTATCTACCTCGAAAATGATCCTACTTCGTTCACACGCTGTGACACCATGCGTGTCTTTACACTTGTCGAGAGTTTCAATGACTCATGCGAGTAACTTTTCACACCAGCGACCACCTCGGAGTCGCAAGGTGAATTATGACACGTCTGCAAATTGATAAGAATTATTTTACGTGTAGCGGATGAATCTGCACTTAAGAGAAACAATCGATGCTTCTGATCTAATGGTAATACCAGGTACGAGGGTCTCGGGTGTTCCTGAGATCGATAGACCTCGAACATGCGAAGGATTCAGTAGGTGGCTCGGGTGTGTTCGATCGAAGATCAATTGGAGGTGTAAAGCTAGGCGAAGGAGCCGATCGACTTTCAGCGTCCGCTGACGGATATCCGAGAGCCGATACGGAAACAGGAATCGCTCGGTATATCGGCGGGTATATAATCGATCTACATCGGTAGAGTAATCGTCGAGATTGAACGGTAACCGTAACCACCCTTCGCGTGCCCGACCGGGTGGCGGTGAATCGGAGGGATGTAGGCGGCTGCCGCCGCCGCCGCCGCCGCCGCCGCGGCTTTGTGTGCCGCATTGCGCCTGGAACTCTGCCAATCTAACGTTAGCAACGCTTTACGTAAGGGGACCGTTTTCGATGTAACACCGGGGGGTAAAAAAGAGAAGCAACGTTCTTTTCTTGGATCGCGGCGCTCTCGGGTCACCCTACGTCTGCATAGATCCGCTAGAAAGCCGGCGACTCTGTGAGAGGAGAGCTCGTGAACGGTTTCGCGTAACCCGGCAGAAATGATGTTGCAGCTATTATATCCTGCGTTGTAGAACTTTGAAACGAGCTTCCCGTACGACCCGGCACGTATCGAGGGAAATTTTTATCAGGAGCAGCGTGCAGCCGCGATGCGTTGAATGGATTGCGAAAGCAAGGGAACAGAGTGAGGCCATGAGAAAACGAACAGAGCGTTGCCCTTTCTGCATTGTACGGAGAGAGAGAGGATAACGGATTATATAAGCGAAATGTTTAAAGGCCAGTTTCATGACTCGATGAAAATTGGATAAATGCATTGGCCTGTTTTAAAAATTCACCCGGTGCGGTTTATCAGAGGCACTCTGTACGGTCCTAGGAAGTATCTAGGAAGCTGGTAGAGATGCGCAATACCTTGCTCAGGAAAGAACACGGAGGATGCAGGAGATTAGATCGGGTATATTATAGTCAGTCGCGGTGACTCATCGAAAGACACGAAACATTGTTGAAATAGGCGAAAGGTGGGAATGTTATCGTGTCACGCGAAATCACATAACGGATGAGATCACAGGATTTAAATGAATCTTTCTAATGAAAATCTTAATTGAGCGTCGATCGCTTAGCACGATGATACGTACTTTTTTAAATAACAGTAACGCCAGTAACGTTGAGATCGATTTGATCTCTCGTCCACTTCTCGTGGCTTCTGAAAAGATCGTTTCATCTGACTCGAGCATGAAAGCATTTCTCTCTAGAACGAAGAACGATGTTCCTCAGCGTTTCTGGACAAAGAGACGCTATATCTTTCGCCCGCGTTTCTAATGAGAACGGCTGTCGCGTAGTTCGTCCACAATAAATTGTTCTTTAGAAAAGCGATCCGTCTAATTTTCCGGTGATCCAAATCCGCGAGAGCGGAGTAGTATTGTTTCGTTCGAAAGTCTTTTCTCTCGAGACAAAAGGCACAGCCTTGGCCAGTGTCAAATAAGAGATCGTCACTCACCTCCGACAAGAGGCCTTGCTGCACGCTGTTCCCGGTGTCCTGGCTCGACAGAGCCAGCACCAGCAACGTCAGGAGGCCGCCGGCCAGCAGTGTCCGCTTGATCGCTGCGAACACGTATCGTCGCGGTGTCATCTTCTCCCGGTGAACGATCTTCCTCCTGTACTCATATCGGACTGAAACAATTCATCGAACGAACCATGAATTCGTTGCTGTAGCGATAGCTGAGTACTTAAAGCTATTGGATACGGATCAGCTTCGTTTTTCAAACTTTGCACCGAACGTATAGCTAATGATGAACGATTCACATGGTACCGATCCAGGGTTTCTAGCCACGCGACGGTCGGACCGTATGCAAGTGATATTACGATAATATTGACACTCTGAGCCCCTTTTCGCATCGCGGTAGCATGCATGTACATCGATATGTCTTTATGCAAGTGTCAACTAAGTATCGATTCCATTTGATATTACGTACGCAGATACTAGTTTCATCCCGTTTACATACTAGATACAACATTAGCTTCTAAGCATCGATATCGATTTTTATTGATTCGACATCGTCGCTGAGTCGTCGTCAACACGTTCTCGATGTCGTAACGCGAATTTCAAGGAATCCCTGTGTTTTACAAACATGCATAACGTAAGCTCGCAAACTACCAAGGACGTTGCAGAATCGTACAGCGATGCTTCTGGATAAATAATGTTCAACGGAACGTCAGAGAGTCGAGGATCAATCACGCTGCGTTAATGTTTTCGAGTAAATGCGGCGAGACACACCGAATAATATTAATATGATCGCACTGAATTTCTCTAATTATTCTCCTATTTATTCTCTCATACAGAACGCATACTTCCTCTACGATAAACTAACATTCTGCTTCTAGAGATTATAAACGAAACCTCGAACAGACGTACTTGAGCAAAGTACTTTTCAAGTAGCGATGCGGGGTTTCATCGCGGAGCGTATGCTTCCTGGGTCAATGGGTCATAGCTGTCTTCGTCCCGATATAAGCGAACTATTTTGATTCCATTGCTCAATTCGGTACGTTCGCGATGCGAAATAATATAAGTAGTGGGAATACGTACTTTGCGTGGACATATATGCCCTGGTATCAGGATTCAACGATGCATCTATCGCGACCCTTGCATAAAATTCACTGTGCCTCCTTGCGAGCTCGGTCCACTCCTCGGGTTTGATTCTCACCAGCCACGGGTGGAACGCAGCGCAGATCGTGCCCCGATTGCTATCAGTGGTGTATGTATACCAGTAAAAGAAACACGTGACACATCCGACGGATCGAACGAAAAGTACAGACGACATACGATCACGACGGCATCCTGCAGACTACTGAAGTGATCCGATGAGATGCACTGCCCCGCACGCTTCCATGCTCGCGTCGTCGGCTCGCAGTCGCTGAGTGGCCAACATTTTCGCGGGTCGATTCGTCGCTGGACAGCGATACACATGCGCCGCGGAGACCGCGTCCCCTCATCCCTTACGTCGTTCGAATTTAAGCTCCTCTTTCCTGGGACACCTTCTTCTTTTTACTCGACGTTTGTTTCGATCGAATCAAACGAGATGCTTAACGATAGGAACGATTCTCGTTTCAGGACGTTGACGGATGTCAGCATTTACGTGTCTTCCAAGGAGAGCGACGAACTCTCCGGTGTGTCGATGATCTGGGAGTTCGCCGACGAAGCATTCTGGAATCGAACGAATAAAATTGAACGTGGAAACGATCAGGAGCGCGTCCCTCACGCCACCGTCGTTCTCGATCTACCGAAATTCGATCGGCAATCGTTCTACGAGGTGTACGGGTCGATTCTATACGAAGCCGATGAACAAAAGTATCAGACTCCGTTACCTGTTACAAGCCTCACCATCGAAGACTTCATAAACAATAGTTACAAAGTGGATGTTTCGACGGATATTGTCCCGTTACACACGAGGTCTTTAGAAAGCGCTAATTGGACGGCCACGATTTTAACGTGGAAAAGTACGTCGGTCTTCAGAGCCGTCGATTTACGCGTCGATCAAAACCCTGGAAGGAAAGAAAAACTTCAGAGATTCTTGGAACAAAAATCTTTCCAACAAATCTGCCCGACCGTTTACGTCGCGCGCGGATGTTCGATCGATTGCATGATCGAGATACTTTCTCCTGTCAAGAAGGAGCAGACAATAAGAATTTCTACTAGGTGAGAGCGGCGTCGACTTGAGCGAACCATGATTCTTTATTTGATCGTTTATAGGTCCGATCAGCAAATGAACGTAATGCTGCAACTCTTAAACGCAGAGTTTCCAGATATAATTATTAACGAAGTTGATGATATTCTTCGCGCTGCGAAGACGATCTTGGAAGAATTGAAGTTATATCAGAGAAACGCTTGTACCGCCGAACTCCAAATGGCAAGAATAGGAACCGATCTACTTATCCCGTGAACATGGTGAAACGGATCATCGTTCTATGTATATATTTATAGATATTTTTGTTCAATTTCTTGTACGAGAGCAAATAGAGATAATCATATTTAAAAGAAGATGTGTTGCTCATTCGTCTATGTATACTAGAAAGAGGATTTTTTTTATTTATCTTATTAAAAGTTCTGTGTTTCAACATTTTTAACGAAACCGAAATGTCTATTCTGCTGTCAAATGTGATATTGAAAAATTGATATGTATTTCAATTTATGGAAAATGATTGTACAGAGAGAGGATGAATTAAACTTGGATCTTGACTGCTATTGCCTCACTCCTAGCTCCTGCTCCTAGACAATAATATCAGGATAGCATGGCACAGGTAGTAGCATCGTAACTATCGAGATCCCACCGAAAACCGGTTTACTCACTACTACTACTCTTACCTAACTACGATTGCACGGATATAAATAGCTGATATAAAGTTATCTCATACCCTAGACAATTTTTACATAAAATCTCTATATAGTTTATTATACAAGTCTGACATTGTAAAATTATTTGAATTATATTAAAAATCCTGTTACTTTTAATGAGTTCAATACAATTGTTTATAAGAGACTGATATAACAGTTAATCTTCCGTTTACCGCCAGAAATTATATTCTTACTGTCCTGTGAACTTGTTTCGAAGTTCAGAATATTCCGAAAATTATGAAAGTCAAAATGTTGTTTTATCGGACTCCGTTTCTATTTTCTTTCCGTCGACTGTACAAACAGAGATAAGATAGAAATTTCCTTCGTTTCATAGGAACGATCCTTCTTCAAGTTTATCCGCCATTTCTTCGTACTCAGAGCGCGATAGGCAAGTGATGTGGAATCCAGTGAAATTTGATATGCATCGCATAGAGTCAGGAAACGGGACGTGCGAGTGAAACCGCAAATTTATCATATTGCGTGATCATTTGACGACATTTACTATCATTTCCTTGATCGAGCAAATCTTTAGTTCTAACTGTGAATAAGTGAAGTCTCGTGTTCGAATAAGACGAATTTCATGAAGAGAGCCTTAAGCCTTGAACAAATGCTCGAGCGCAACGACGATGGCTCTGTGAACCATGCACAAGCTGCATGCGTACATACAAAATCGTATATATATA